AGAGGTTGAGCATTTCTTCATGGGGATTTTGACATTCTTTATGTGAAATACTTGGATTAAGATAAGTTTAAGAATTGAGAATTTGGGGATTTGAGGAAGTTAATGGTGGTACATATTCCATGTGTTTTGCTACTGCTAGCATGGCACATAACTTTCTGCAGAGAAATTATAGAAACATGACTGCGTAAAAGAAATGACTGAATTAGCTTTGGTTTTGCAACAAAGTGAATTTGAAAAAGACACCTTTGTTTTATGGAACTTCTTAGGTTTCAGAGTTGGGAATAAGAGTTGGAACCTGTAAAATGTCTTCAGCTCTCTTGAATATGTTATCAACTTATTCAGATGTGTTGAAGTTTATATGACTGAATGATGGTAATTTTTTTTTAATGTTTCTTTTAGGTAGATGAAGTTCCTGATGGAGCTGTAAAACTACCTACAAACAAACTACCCATTTTCTTTTTTGGAACTCATGAGACGTAAGTCCTGTTAGCTTTTAGATGCAAATTAGAAGTTTCAGGATTGTGCATAAAATGAAAAAGTAGAGATTAATTTAAAGAGGAATAGGAAAAAATACAAAACTTTAAAATTGTGTTTGAACTTTAGAATAAATTTTCAAGCTGCCTCTGTGTTGAGGAAGTACTATGTATCTTTTGCTTTTAGATAGTAAAGGCACTGTAGGTTTAATTTTGATTGTAGGTTTAATTTTCTTAATCAGGGAAGGAAGCAAAAGAATGGGGGAAAGTTTGTATGGGAAGTTTTTAGAGGACATTCAACATTTCTGTTCAGTAAAATTATATGGACTTTTCCCCCACTATTCTGGGATTTGAATTCAGTGTCCTGTACTTGGTAGGCAGGTGCTCTACCATTGAGTCATGCCTCTGGCCCAACTAAGTGATTTTTTTTTTTTTGTCGGTCATGAGGTTGAACTCTGGGCCTAAACGCTGTCCCTGTGCTCTTCAGCTCTTCAGCTCAAGGCGAGCACTCTACCGCTTAAGCCACAGCACCATTTGTGGTTTTCTAGTGGTTTATTGGAGATAAAAGTCTCATGGACTTTGGGCTAGCTTTGAACCTGGCTTTGAACTGCGATCCTCAGATCTCAGCCTCCTGAGTAGCTAGGATTACAGGTGTGAGCCACCAGCGCCTAGTCCAACTAAGTGATTTCCATAAGGATTGTCTTGTATCATGCTTTAGGCCTTAGGCTATATTGTATGAAATACGAGAAGATGAAATCTGGACAGTTCCTTTGAGTGTACTAGAGGCTTATGGGTAGTAGAGCCACTCTGATTTGTTCTACTGTCCCTAGTGGATATGGGCACAAACTGGTGAGACAATTTTAATTTTTCAAAAATTAGCTGAAAATTGAACTGTTACTTTTACATGGATAAGATTTTCTGGGAGCTATCTCATTGGTTTCCAATGATTATATTCCTATATACCTATCATTTAATAGCCTTCTAAGTACTATATAATTTGACTGGTTTTGAACTTAAAATAATTTCTGTAGCTTAGGCTTGCTTATTTGGGATGAAGAGAAACAAAGCTTGGTATTCCTCTTCTAATTATAATTATGTTCCTAGAAATGGCTACAATGGCAATGTCTGATTTAATGTTTCTTAGCAACCATCTTCCAGTTATTAATGTGTACGTGTGTTACTGAGGTTTGAACTCAGCCTCATGCTTACTAACTGCCAATTATCCTTCAGCCCTTTTAAATTCTGGTTGTAAGTACAATGCATCTTTTTTTTTGGGGGGGGGGACTGAACTCTGGGCCTGGGCGCTGTCCCTCAGCTCTTCATCTCAAGGCTAGTGCTCTACCACTTGAGCCACAGCGCCACTTCTGGATTTTTCTGCTTATGTGGTGCTGAGGAATCGAACCCAGGGCCTCATGCA